CGAAAAAAAAAAAAAAAAAAAAGAAGAAGAAAAATACCTTTAAACGCATAGCCACCGGAATCGGCCGTGTTCAATTTACAGCGGTTGTGTCCACCACAGCCATTTTCTTACGTAATACCACCGTTGATCATCCTCCGTGCCGTGCACGCGCAACGATAATTATAACATGGTGACCATGGGCCCGATAAAATAAAAATTGTATAAAATAAAAAAAAAACACATTTGATCTCTTTGTTTCCACAAGAATTCATCTCGGAATTTATCTGAATTTGCGTTTCTCTCTCTCTTTCTCTTTTTCTCTCTGTCTGTCTGTCTCTCTCTAAGAATATGAATTTGGGAGTAAAACTATCGAGAGTTGTTTTTTCGGATATCGAATTGAGAAACGAAAATTACAATATTGTTCAATTAACGTAGTGGAAATTAGTGAAAAATAATTCTCGATGTAGTAGATAGTTCAAAGACAGTTTTACTTTCGGATTTGTAACCTGAAGGTATCGGTTATACGAGTATCTAAAAATAATCTGGGATTTTTGGGTCGGGTCGGTTTTTCCAAGATTTCCAGAACCCTAATCGTATTTCGGGATTAATTTTGTTGAAAGATCGAGGGACGAAACTCGTCTCTCGAAACACGAGGTCCTGAAAATCTTGGAAAAGATATTTATCTTTCAGGGAAAAGATACTTTCGAGTATACTCAAGCCGAGATAATATATACATACATACACGCGACGAAAATTTTCAGCTTCTTTAAATATCGATAAGAGAGCGAAATTCACTCAAAATACCGTGTCTCTAAAAACGTGTTATTCCAGTGAATTGTGAAAAGTAAGTCTCCTCTGGATAAACGAATTATTAAAACCGAAGCGACAACGAATAAATGAATAATAAGTAAAAAATTTCATTCGTTATTCATAATTTCGAATAAAGCGGCTGAATAACTGCACGCCATACGAGCAACAACAGTTTAACATCCGCCTCATTTGCATCACTTAATGGCTTCTCGTCAATTTCTCGGAACGCAAACGCATCTCTCATCCCTTCCCTGACGACTAACCGCTAAAACCACGAATTTCATCAAGGCGTTACACGCCATTGAATCCCCCCTCCCCCTTTCATAATCATCCAAAACGAAACTGGTCCCTGGAGGGGGAGAGGGGGCATGGATGCGCATGAAACGTTTTCACCAAGAACGATCGTATTCGTTCGGATTACAGGGGCTGAAGAGCAAGAAGGTCAGGATGCTGAGCAGCTTGGCAAACTACTTACTCGGAGGTAATATCTCCGGCGCGCAAGATTCACGGGAAAGGTCCAATAACGAAAGCCCGGAGTCCCTTCCAGTAATAGCGAGGCTCAGTCAGGTGGAGGTTGAGGGCGAAGACTGGATCCTCATTGACCGTGCTGGTACGTTTCAGACCTCGATGAATCGGCCTTTTTTCCCTCTGGAAAAGGACCGTGTGTCCGGGAGAAAGGCCGAGGAATGTATATATATATGTGTGTGTGTGTGTATACATACGCACAGAGGTACCCCATTTAGAGAACTAGAGTGGCATCTCACGCCAGAGTGACGCCCGCTTTCTGTCCCCTTTGGAGGGGGGTGTGTAAAACGAGACGCGTCTTTGGACCATGGGACGATGAATAACGCGATTACTATGGCGAGGAATAACGAGAGCCTTTTTGGTCGATTGTTTTCTTTAGTGGGGTGGGAAATGTTCGGGGTGATGGATGTTTGCTGGGTACATTAGTCTTGTATTTACGTTGGGGGGGGACTATGGTATAGAGAAAACCGTCACGTATCGATACATTGTTATTTCTTTTTCTTTTTAAATATTTCTCTGATATTTCGGACTTCGTGTACACGATTTTTGATCTCTTACATCACATATATATATAAAATAAGTATCATTAGTCTATATATATATATATATAGATATATAATATATAGTCTATATATGATAAATAATACTGGTAATAAATCTAAAAAAGGAAAAAAAATTTTAAATATTTTTAAAACGTGTTATTCGAATTTTCACTGATATTTCAAAAGTAATTGCGCGATAAAAAATTTCCAATTTCCTATTTTAAATATTGCTCGATCATCGGTTACGTAAAAGCGGGCGTGACAAAATTGCATTTACAAATTGCATATTGTATGGATAATAACCCCTTGTTAGAGGCTCGAGACTGAGATCGGGGGCGATGTTGAATTCCACAGTTGAGGGCGCGACGGCGCTGGAGGAGTCGTGGTATGTAACGCCACCCGCATGTTTCACACGGGCGGGCCCCGTGAACGTAGAAACATCACCGCTAGAGGACCTGCTGATAGAGCATCCCAGTATGTCCGTGTACCGAGCCACAGCGTCTCCGGTCGCCCCC